CTTAATTCTTCGGTTGGGGTTCACCTCCCTCTTTTGTGCCTTGTACCTCTCCTATTCGGCTCGGGGTGATAATTTAGATCTAAGATGATACACCCATCAAAACGCGATTAGCCCGGCTCCCCGGGTCGCAGCGCTACCCCACCGGGCGTTCTTCCGTTTTGCGTCACGGATGATCCGTCAGCACCGTAAATCCTCGTGTACGGGTACACAAAGTCAAGTTTTACGGCAAGTCTCGTAGATCCGGAGGTTCCGATGTCTCTATCAGTCTATCTCTCCCAGAAACGATTGATTGTCGTTCTCTCGGTCGGAGAACCATAGCCGTTGCCCTTTTCGCTCCGGTTCCTACACATTAAGCGAGGGTTTGGGTATGCATATCTGGGTGCAATTTCTCAACACGTCGTGTGCTCCGCATGCCATTCGAAGGATGTTGATGAGACTGTGGCAAGTCACTAGAATCACTGATTGGCCTTTGAGATCGCGATCATCGAACTTTTTATGAAAAGCGTGGGGAGACCAAACCAAACCAGTCCAAGAGGTGATCCATCCTCTCGGTCAGATTCAAATTCATAGTCGGAGGCAAAGTTACCCCACCCCCCCCGAGGCCCATCTTGGTCACTCACACCCGGTCTGAGAAATGACCTGGATCGATCAAACCTTGACGAGGGCCCTTCTTTCATTAATAGCACAACTCGCGCGGCTCCTCGGGTTATCGTGGAACGGTTAGCAAGAACAACGCTCGTGACCCATCGTTGATCCTCGGTTCCTAATGAGAATGAATCGCTTCATCTCGATACCCAGGTTTACCGGATTTGCAGATCACGGATGCTGACCAACGAGGCTCCCAGCTGACTTAGAGAACACTTCGGAGACTCTCCACACCGGAAGCCAGTAGGAAAACGCCTGTTACCGGTACATGACTGGATCCGACAGGAGATTGCCTCAAGCTCCATGAGCGAATGGGTGATTAGAAATCACACCATTTGCTACGAACCTAGGAAACACCGTCAGAAGGTCGCGTCGCTGTGGAGAGAACATGCATGCAAAGGACCTTTCCGTTTCAAATGCTCCATCCGGCAATTAATCGAGTATCCATGTACCCTGTGAGTAACACTGCATCGTGCACCAGATACCAACAGGTGGAACCGCTCCACGACGAAGCATCCACTAAGAAAATGGGGACACTGCCGGCCAAAACGTGGCCGACCCAAGCGGCAAACAACTCTAGCTCTCCACGCTGAGGTCAGGCAGTGCTTGAAAGTGTGATGACGAAATCGATTACTTTACAGAGGAAACGAAACAGAGCCTCTGGCGAGCCCCGCCGTACTGGAAGGACAGCTATGGAAATGCCGACCAAAACCACCATAGATGACGGTGAATTCATCATACTGGTAGTTCTTCCGAGTGCGGGGGACATTGTACGGGTTTCAGTACTTTCCGGTATCACTTCAGGGGTCCAGACATGAAACAAGCATGATACACCTGACGCCTACCATTCTTGCAAAGTGCATTGGCTCGCTCCGTTGATCACGGACGGAGCGAATTTCCTGGAATGCGGGCGAGTTTCGAGGGACCATGAAGTGGTTCTGACCGCGAACACACTGTCCACACGACGACAGGCAGTCCTTTGTGATATCTGTAAACGAGACCCACCAGAGAGACGTATTCACCAAGGTGAAGATCAAGAGTGTCTTCCGAATGATCGTGAGGATGATGCAGTTTACGACACTCGTCTCAAGCACGGTATGGTTTGGAAGAACCTGTGCGCATAGTTTCGGGAATTAAAAGCGGTGACGTCTGACACAATGAAGGTAGTGCAAGCGTACATTGATGATGCACAGAGCGAGGTCCTCGTTGTTTCCACGATTTTCTGCCAGAGTTCAAACCCCGACTGGAGAGCTGCGTCGAGCTCGATTGGGAAGAAGAAGCGGTGATCATATGTAGCAGCTCACACACTAGCGGGTGACAAGACACTTGGCTTGTAGTGGTGGGCGGTCGTACAGCCAAGAAGGCGAACGGGGAGACCCTCGGGGTCAGAATCCAACACGAGGCCGCTGCGATCCATCTACTGAAGCACCGCCGGACCTGGAATGAATAAGAGAGTTCACAGAAAGCACAGGAGAGCCGCCCGACCCACACGACCAGGGATAGACGAGCGTCAAGGGTTCATGGTGGTTGACGGGACAGTCAGACGTGAGAACATCCCAGGCCGCTTTCATCTTCTTCCCCGCGCTCGTTGTATGCTCCTTCACACATATGCCTGGTTCTCGTCCATAATTGTTGTGTAGACTTGTACTCGTTACAGTCATTACTTCATGTCCCTCCTATCCTTATACCGTACAAATTAAAGCCACGATAGACAGATGAACGGATAGGCGGTCAATAGTTGAATGCCTCGGAGTGGATCCTATCAACTTCCAAACTCAGGTGCTCCTGGATCACTTTGTCGAATTCCGGAGGTCCGCAAAGGTATGCCTCCCCCCGAGAGGTATTCAAGTCAGGGATTTCTTGTGACGAGAGGACGTGCGTCCACTGCGTGCGAATTCGATCATCGTTGAGAGATGTTTCCAAGGGTTCAAACGTTCATGTTTCTCCACCCCCTAAATTATCCCATTTCAACGAGTATCGCAGTACTTCAACAAGGTGGAGTTGAGGCCGCCAAACAATTCGCCGGACCTTCTGGACTCTTATCTAACTTCGAGCCCCACCTCCGACTGGCAACGTACGCCCTTGCCGCCGTCTGCGGAAGGCAGCTTCAACAATGTCTACTGTCGGAGAATGGTCGGTCATGCAACGTTACCGACGGAGGTGGCATCAGGCTGTCCCAGGATTGGACGTATTCGCGCATCGTCTCCGAATACCAGAGGACGTCCAATTGAAGATCTTGGGTGGGCTCTTCAAGCACATCACATCTATTGGTCTACTCACTTGAAGTACAGAGCAGCGGAAGGACAAGAAAATCGAAGCTAAGCCACGGCCGTCATGTTTGCCTACCTTAGATCTACGGAAGATCCTTGTTAACAAATTTCATTGGCTTAGGCATGGTTCTCACGAGTCAAACTCCAAACAGTAAGTGTACCAGTTCTGTGTTAACCCATTTTCACTGATTGTACCTATAGTACGAGGCGCATTGGAAACAGGCTCCAGTCCGGCAGGTCTTAGTTCTATTCCACGTGCAACAACTCTCGAGGAATGGCCATCCTCCCCCGGTGTACTGAAGAGGTTCTACGATGACCACGAGACCGATATGAGCTCAGATGTCGACTTACCTCTGCCGTCTGTCACGACGCAGAGATGGACGAGATTGGGCCACAACCCGAACCCGAACACGTCCCCGAAATTCCCCAGGCCGCTATTGGTTCTCGACCCCAAAATCCGTCATCCCCACCCCCTACTCAACCGCCTCGACCGCGATCTCCGCTAACGTCATCCTCCATTCCTCAGATGCAAAATGAACCGGCCAGCCCCGAGAGCATCCGCACGAGCATACAAGCTGTGTCAGGTTCTCAGCTGTCCTCTTCTAAAAACCCTCCGACGTGGGTTCGTTTGGACAACGAACCATCAAACGGTCCAGGTTTCAAGTCGCTGTCGCCACAACACGACCATCCACCAATCTCGATGCCACAACCGATCCCAGGGACCCGCCTGTCTCCGGTGAAGCAAGCAATGAAACAACTTCGCTTGGAGCCGCCCTCGAAAACGACACGGAAGCCACTTTCGGGACCTTCTCCCTTGGATCGACTATCGGAGGCCGTCGTGGTCCATATGAACGAGATGGCAGTGGACGTTGAGATCCAAGATCTCGCGGCGAGCACCCAGAGCTCCCTCGAATATGCGAGCACCCAAGACGAGGATAAGGTGGTAGCGGATGCGGAGCCACCGAAGTTGGCGGACAAGCCTTCGGAGGCTGTCTCCTCGAGGCTTCTCTCCAAGGTTACCAAACAACCGATCGAACCGGTAAAATCCCCCCCACCCTCCGAATCTCCTAAGCCTGCCTCGCGGGTTGATTTTGTTCTCGAACAAGTTGATACTGATTCCAAAAGGAAGTATTCAGGTGCCCTTTCTGCTCAGGATGATTCGAAGGATGTCAAACGACAGAAGGTGGCTAAAGGACCTGGACCGCGGAAGCCAGGGAAACATCTTTCCTTCGTCGACCCTAATAAGTTCAAGCGACCATTTCACAGCAAACACCAGATTCGTAAGATATCCGCTCAGAATGGGACGACCAAGACTACTGAACCTTCCGCTGTGGCCCAACCGGACGAGGACGAGTGGACGAACAAGTACTTTAATGCTCGGTTTTATCGGGAACCAAAGTACCCTCGTATGACAGCCGCATTCGAAACGGAACCACTACAGAAGGTCACCAAGAGCAAAGAAGCTGCGTACGGGAATGGTCGTGACTCTGGAGGTCTCCGGCCGCGGAACGAATCTCGAAGGACCGGTACGTCGAACTCGAGCCACCAGTTGCCTGGAAAGAATCGAAAAACCGCTCGCGTCCCCAATGACGATGAATCACCTGGTCGGTCTGCCGCCCCCGTCCGTGTCCAACATTCGGAACCCTTGAGGAAGGACATGGAGAGGGATTTGGTTGCGATTGAGTTTCAGTACCCCCTGGCTCGGAAGTCCGGTTTGTATGCTCTGGATTTGAATTCACCCCCTGCTAGGACTCCCTGGGGGCAGGTTGACGAATAAACGGCTGCGAGAGATTTTGATCAGGACCGGGAGGGTTAGGGTTAGAGAGGCTAAGACTACAGAGCCAAACCAGAATGGTCGATGACGACGACGATCAGGAAGAATCCTTCAGCTTCACGCACTGACGTTTTTTTTGTACACTCTTTTTTCGTTTGCTTGGCGAAAGACTCCTTGGTATTTTGCTCGTTCTTTATTCATATATATTGGCCTCTCGTGTGTAAATTTATTCCGTACACTAGTGGGTGGCTTAGCTCGGGAAACATGAGTTGCTGGGTTCGATCAAGTCACGAGCGGAAAGGGATGCAAAAAGCCCGCGGCGAGGGTCGAACTCGCAGCCTTCAGATTTCAAGACTTAAAAGTCTGACGCTCTAGCCGATTGAGCTACGCGGGCTGATAACGCATTTCTCCAGGATACAAACACATACCCAAAATGGTTTTCTGAACCCAAAAGCCGTGCGGTGCGGCGGGTATACGGGGCTACAAACCTGTATTCTTCCCATACTATTCTTACCCACTCAAGCATCCCTGGCTTTGTGGGGGTCATTGAGTCGGACTTGGAGAACGAATGACATCGCTCACCTAGCAAGTCTGCCCTGCCGCCTGACTCTGACAAAATGCCCATGAAAGTTCTAAGAGTTAGAACGGCTCGAATTGACACCTGATCGTGGTTACAGATAGCTCAACAAACTAACGTTCACTCAGACTCCGAGCCAGATATACCCTTATAGCCCTTCTAGCCAAGCCAGCGATGTCCACCCTCAGGTCGGCGGTCTATAGAGGTACGTTGAGTTGAAAACTAAATCAGACGACTCCTGAGCCACGAGTGCTGAGCTATCTGCCCCCCCCCTGAACTAACGGCCACCCGGATACTTGTCTCAGAGAGATAAATAATCATGTTCCCCTGCTCTCTTCTTCCCCTGCAACGAACATGAAGATCCTAGCTGTTCTCTACTCTGGAGGTTCTGCCGCGAAAGAGGAACCCCGTTTGTTGGGGACCGTCGAGAATGAAGTGAGTTGTTGACCACACCATTGGAAATGGCTCATTAGAACTTGTTCCAGCTCGGTCTCGGTGAATGGTTGGAGAGCCAAGGTCACGAGTACTTCGTAACCAGTGACAAGGAGGGGGCAAGCAGCGTGTTCCAGAAGCACGTTGTGGACGTGAGTGTGCTTTGAACGACGTGTCGCTTCATCATATCTTAACCTGGAGTCAGGCGGAGATCTTGATTACAACCCCATTCCATCCCGCTTACCTTACCGGGGACCTCATTGAGAAGGTGTGCGTCAATCATCTACGTTCAAACATACACTTCTAACTTCCTCGTCATCTGTCAGGCTAAGAACTTGAAACTTTGTGTCACGGCTGGTGTTGGCAGTGATCACATTGACTTGAATGCAGGCAAGCACCGTTTCACAAACACCTTTCGAGACTAAGCCTAAAGTGATTCCGGTTCAGCCATCGACCGTAAAATCCAAGTCTTGGAAGTGTCGGGGTCCAACGTCACTTCAGTCGCAGAGCACGTCGTGATGTCAATCCTCCTGCTCGTCAGGAACTTCGTGCCCGCCCACGAGATGATTGAGCGTGGCGACTGGAATGTTGCTCAAATTGCTAGGAACGCCTTTGATCTCGAGGGTAAAGTTGTCGGTACCATCGGCGCTGGTAGAATTGGATACAGGGTCTTACAACGCCTCAAGCCTTTCGATTGCAAGGAACTCTTGTACTATGACTATGCCCCTCTCCCAAAGGGCGAGTTTCCATATATCTGAGCACGACATTGCAAGCTAATCTTTCGATATCGTAGATGCTGCTGATGCAGTCGGTGCGAGACGCATCCAGGATCTTAAGGTGACTCCAACGGCTGAGACGAACTCTCCGTTCAGTCGTTCACAAAATCCTCCAGGAATTCGTCTCCAAGTGTGACGTTGTCACAGTCAACGTTCCACTTTATGAGGCTACCCGTGGGTTGGTCAACGCCGAACTGCTCGGGCACTTCAAGAGGGGCGCATGGTTGGTGAACACCGCTCGTGGCGCGATCTGTGATAGGGACGCAGTTACCAACGCCGTAAAGAGCGGTCAGCTCAACGGATACTCCGGGGATGTCTGGAACGTTCAGCCTGCTCCCGGAGATCACCCCTGGAGAACCATGAAAAACCCCTTGGGCGGTGGTAACGGGATGGTACCTCACTATTCCGGCACCACTCTCAATGCCCAAAACAGATACGCAAATGGTGTCAAGCAGATTATCGATAACTACCTGAACGGGAGACCCCAAGACCCTGTCAATATCATCGTTGGAATCGGAAAGTACGAAACAAAAGCTTGTGAGTGAACGATCGCTTTGCATATTCCGCTCAGATGCTTAGCTCCCGACTCAGATGGCCAACGCTGAAGAGATCGAGCAATCAAACCGGAAACTGTGTCAACGGAAGATTATTGTACTTGTACTCGGGCGACCTTGTAAAAATGATCGAGATTATGTGCAAAACAGAAATGCACCCCTTACACCACCAACCAGCTGGTCTTACATTGTACGTTGAAACAAAAAGCTGTAGAGATGTACAGAACAGAAGAGAGGAGATGATCAGCATTCCTCTTGTTTTACGTGGTACGACGCAAGTTGCTCCTTCATGAACTTCTCCATCTTCGTCGCGTTTCGGGCATAGATCGACCCATCTGGGTTGTATATACGGCAGTTATCGAACACCAACTGTGCGTCGTCCACGAAGGCGTCCAAGTTCGGGTATTGGTTCGTTTCGAGTTTGTGTTCCATCGTACTGAAGTCTAAATCTGAGTCGTGAGCAAGATCACAGGTGATTATGCAAATTACGTGGTAGACAAATACCCATGGGATCCTTGATGACCTCGTAGTAATCAGGGACCTCCTCCGCATTTACAGGTTGCAGGAATGCCCATGAAAGCGGGTGTTGTTGCAAATCCGAGAGCAAGCGCTCCATGATGTTGCGTTCAGGGCTCTTGTGCGGCGACCGAGTGCTAGGAAGGGGGTTAATATCTCCACGAACGACAAATCCCAGGAAAAACGTACATGTCAGTTTGGTCAGGTGTCCAACCGCTCTCCGCTTCGACGGCGATCAGAACTGAGAAACGGGGGCAAGTTCGTAAATGCGCACCAAGTCCAGGAACGTCCCGGTAATCAATTCTAAACTCTCCATCGTTCGTGATTTGGAACCGCTGGATCCCAGAATACACGATGTGGGACTTAGAAATCTCCCGAATCTTCGTCATCACGGCTTCCCGTTGCCGAGACACCATATCCCGGATCTCCAAATAGTTCACTTTTGGTAACAAAGCGCATTCCATGATCGTACCGCCTTCGTAATCCTTGATGTAACCTGCCCAGACCGATCGCGGCAATGTGATTTCCTTAGTGAAACCTTGTTTCTTAAAGTACCCAACCGCATAGTTGTCGGCATAGGTGAGGAAGTGCATCATAGACGGGTAGGTGGTCCGAACGTGGTGTTTGAAATGATCCATAAGCATACCTCCGTAGCCCTGAAAGGCGAGAATTCAGCCATATGGTGACGCGTAGGGTGAAAATGAGCGCCAGCTCGATTTGAAAAATCCTCTTCACCTTTACTTGGTCTGCAGAATTTGTCGCAAAGAACACGATTTCTGCGAATTTCCGATGCGGGAATGGGCGGAAGCAGATCCCACCGACCACCAGGTACCCATGCTTGATGATGGCGAGACACCTCGAGTTCGAATCGTACACGAGCCGCGCGATGTATTCCCTGGGCATCTTCGGCAACTGTTTCTGAAACAGCGTTTTGAGGCCGGTAAGAATGATCATCGACCTTGGTTCTCCGTCGTTCTCGACCGGTACGACGTTTATCACACCTCTCCGGAGCTCGACCCACGATGCTTTCTCGGGTTTCATCCCAGAGGGCTGTTCCATTGGGATGAGAATTCATGGTACCACGTTCGATATCACAATGGCACACACCGTCGCGGCGGCCGTGTCAGTGTCAACCGTCACGCCTGTTGCAAGGCGGTTTAATTGTCCCTCATCCATCTTTTCTTCCACCTTTATCCGGGGTTCCCCATGTGTGATCTGCCTGTTCATTTCTGCGAGTGCGAGACCTGTTGGAGGGGGCATCGATGCGGGTGAAGTTCCAGCTTGCGTTTTGTGACCTTTCTTCGCTCGGTGGCCAGAAAGTGGTTGGCGAGAAGGGCCAATCTGGGCTGCCAACGGCTCGTCGCAATCGTCATCGTCGTCATCGTAGCCATCTTCTTGCATGTCTCCAAGAGAGAAATCCATCATCTTTTGCCGCTTCTTTGATGGTTCTTGGTCATTATCGCTCAAGGAGATAGAATCGACAGATAAAGAGCGTTTCTCCGTGGATGGACCTCACCAGAAAGCGTCAGCCTACGGAAACCGGACTTGAATTCTGATTGGCTGGGCTTACTAGCTGTGAAGATATCGTCTGGAGAGGAGGTTCGAGGCAAAGACATTTGGAGGCGTAGCGACATGATATCTTCGTCCAAGAAATTGAAGTCGACGAGCCTGCCAGCGTCCTATATAAAGCGTAACAGGAAATGGCCGTCAATATTGGTTTTCCGACTACCCCCAGCCATGTACCGCACCTAGGTCCACCATCCAATTTAGTCAGAAAGCGACATGATATACAAAGCACCCTCAACGCACCTGCAGCAATTCATCTATCCTGACGGCCACGCGGCCCCGCCGTTGGTACTCCGGCCTGCCGAGGACCGAGACATCCGCACCGTGTGAAGGTACATCGTGGCCACACTGGCACTCGCTCAGGTAGGCAAGTTCCATTTGATCCGACAATAGGGAATCGTCTGGAGAGACCTCCACACCTACAGGAGGACGTAAACCTGAACAAGAACATAACGAACAAGGTGAATGCCGCGCAATCTTTAGTGAGAGTTGTTCCTCAGAAAGACAAGGGATATCATCTTCGGCGGGGTAAAGTACCCTCATCCCAAGTTTGTCGGGCGTGCGTCCAGCGTGTTTCGCTGCTCCAGGCCCAGGTTGTGGCGATCCCCGTGCCTAACGTCGCGATCGCTGGAGAAGTGTGTGATGCGTCACATGACTCTGACCTGGTTCTGAGACTGGACTGATCGAGGGTTTGTATATTTTTAATGACAAAACATTTTACAGCAAGAACAAAAAATTCACAGCTTTTCGAGACAGGGACGATTATCGAACAAAGCGTCCCGCCAGTCATTCGTATGTACACGTACAGGCGACACCTTATTGCCAAATCCACGAGAGAGGACGTACGAGGTAGGAAAAGCAAATAGCACAATCATTCAATCGTCGTTCTGCTCGCGGTGACGCTGGCGCAGGCGATCTAAGAACTTGGATGCCTGTATCTTTCCTGTAATGGGAGGGGTTTCATCCATCATAT